ATGGTCTGTCAACCTTTCATCTCTATATTTTGGAAGCCACCTTTATGAAAACATATAAACCTGTACAATCTACACATCCTTTAGTAGGTCTGTGACGTTTCCTGATTGGCTTAAGGATATGCCAATCAGTGATTGCCTTACCGGCCTACGTTGATGTGACTCATTTTATAACCTGTATTATTTCCTATAGATCATTTTCCAGGCGGTTCTGCTATGATTAGTGTCTGGCAAAAAGCTTCAGCAGATATTTCCTTTGCAACATCTCAATCAACAATTAATCCAGTTATCAACGCTATTTTCAAGTTTTGAACAACTCGACTTTCAAGATCTACGTATCTACATGTGCCAATGTTTCCGTTTATCAACGTTATATTTTAAGATCTGTGCAATAACTCACCTAATAGATGTTTCCGCATATAAAAGCTATCTTCAAATTTTAATTTTTACATTTCAGTTATTTTTCTTAAAAAAATAAAAAGTATACATAAAAACCAAGAATTTTAGCACTTACTTTAGCCCTGAGTTCTTTCGTACTATAGTATATGGTTTAATAAGTCTTTTTTTTTACTCACTGTGTTCATTGTCCAAAAATAATTTATATAGTTTTCAAATATGCACTTTAGAGCATAAAAAAATTACCAGACATTAGAAGAGAATGTCCTAAAACTACTATAGTTTACTTGGCTTTTTAACCAGCATATAATTAGGTAAAAAAAATTCCATTAATGATGGACGTAAAGTCTGTAGTCTAAACACATCAATCTCTCCTTAAAACTATCAGCCGTTACCACAAACATACACGCACAAAATGTCTTATTTATGTAGTTTAGAATTTATTCTTTCTATTGGTTACAAATATATCCAATATCAATGTCCTTTAATGAAAGACAGAGAATATGGGAGGGAAGTGTCATTATGGGTTGAACAAATATAGTGATAACTCAGTAAAGCAAGAAGAGGTTTAAATTTTATATTCTGGCTTATCAATATCTATATCAATAATTTCTAATTGGTTGAACAATCTGAAGTCCTTATAAGGGTATATAAAAAAATCTCTAAATAAGAAGTCCCAGTGCCACTACATCATGGGACTCAGAGAGGTGCAGATTGAAAATTTATTAAAATATTTCTTTTACAAATTAATACCATGATAATGAAGAAATTTGAATTATTAACTATATTTTCATCCTAAGATTATTAACATACAATTGATAATAAACTAGTGTAGTTATATTTTGAATGTAACACTGCAAAAAAACAAGTTGTGAAATGTGCACTTTGTCCCACCCATTTCCATATGTTTAACTGAAAAACTCAAACTTAACAGCTATAACTTCCCCACTATAAACAAAATCCACATATTATTTTTCAATAAATACAATATTACACTATATAAATATGTTTATCTTCTTCTGATTGAGATGATTGTCACTTGTAAGAACAGTTTTTCTGCTTGTGAACCTGTTGACCTTCTTCTTCTGTCACCTTAACTAGCATATTCTTATATATTTTTTTAAAATTAATGTATTTATTTAACTATTTTTTGCAAGTAAAATGGGACAGGAAAGATCAACTTCAAGGTGACTGAAGGATATTTCAGTCTCCCCTTACTTGCAAATGTTTTATTTTCTGATTATGATTAGCTACATCATACATTGTGCCTTATTTTTTGGTGCTTTTCTTTTATCTGATTTAATACTTTGAATTAATGGAAGGAGGTTGGGCCACTTTTGAATATGTTGGAGATCATAATACCTTTGTATATTTTGTATTTAATTTGGGTTAGTTTTATTTACTTTTTGTATCTTGTATTTCACTTATTTGCTATTTTTATTCTGAAATCTTTAGTTTTGAGTGGTTTATTCTTTCTTTAATTTTATTACTGGACCACTACATTCCAATAAAATGTTGCAGAAAGTAAATGTGTAGCTAGATTCGGTACATTGTGGATTCAATCACATTAACCTGGCCCTCTAATAATTTGTTGCTCAGAAGATTCTCAACTTCAAAAATTGAAGCAAAGCCCAATGTTTCAGTAGAAGCTGCATGAAAAATTCTGAAAAGGTTACTTGAAACTGTTAAAAGTTAACAGAAGTAGTCAATGTAGAAAAACAAGTTCTCCAAGAGTGATTTTAAATATCCCAGGGAACATTTTATTCAAGTAAAGATTACATTCAAACTTGCTGTAAATACAAGTGTAAATATCACCTGAAGATTTGTTTGTTTTTAGAACAAAGCCACACGTAGCTATCTGTTGTGTCCACCATGGGGAATCAAACCCTTGGTTTTAGCACCGGAAGTCCATAAACTTACCGCTGTCCCACTAGGGAACACCACCTAAAGAATACTAAGATATACTTTAACATAAAGTGATGTCAATGAATTGCATAGCTGCTCAAAAACCAAAAGATTAAACTAGGCATTGGACAACAAACAGTTTAATGAGCAAAGCTGGAAAAACAAGCACTTTATAAGTGATTCCAAGTTTATATTTTTCTGCATAAATCAACAGTAATTGTTTGATGGCAGAAAAGAGAATAGTATCATAGTTAACATACAACATCTTTAGGATTATGATTCTTCAGGTGGGGATTCCTTTTCCAGAAAGATAATAGTTACAAACATACAATAAATGAAGTGAAATGATATTTTTATGGTAAAGAGGCAGGTAGGACACTCACAACCATGGCTGAGCCTGCACAAAGTCCTGATATGAACATTCTTGAAGTTATGTAAAAGAAGGGAAGGTCATAGGTGATAAAACAACTTAAATGAATTGTGGGGAGTGATAAAGGATATATATGGAAAAGTATTCCACAACCAAAGATTTATATTAAACTGTACGGTAACATAAAAATAAGTGTAATTCTCTGTGTAAAGCAGAGCACTCATATATAGATACTTGTGCATTGTACAACTTGCTCACTTTCTTTTGTATTTTCTGTGATAATGTTTTGCACCATTAATAAATTTATCATCTAGTTCCTGAAATGATTTCCACAAAACACAAGTTCAAAATTACGTGAACATTGACAATCAAATTGAAGAGAAGTAAAAAGTCTGGAAGTTACAGCTTACAATGGTATTATGAATTCTAATTTTAGAAAATATATAGAATATCAAGTTAGATTTAATACAGTTTTGAATATTTATTAATCATGAACATATTGTTTTATCACCTAATTTTAATATATGAGCTTTAAGTAGGATCTAACAAAAAAAGACAGAAAAACTAGTACAGAAAATAAGCTAGCTATAAGTAATTTACAAAGGATAAACAAATAAGTACTGTGTTAGTATTTTCACTTACCCTGACCAAGCAAACTTTGCTAAACCCATCCAAGTTGAATCTGATGCTGCTGATGTTTTTGGAAAAACCAGAACTTCCTCACCCCTTTCATAACAGGCCTGAAAATCAATTATTTATTGTTTGATAATCAGTTATATACACTGTATTACTGGATGTTTAAAACATTTACACCATCACTGAGAAAGGTAAAAGCCATACACGAAGACTAATTGCTGTACATGTTTAAAATAGTGCATGTAACAGTTAAAAGGTAATTTGGAAACTTCCCTTACAAAGCCAGTTGTATCATAATCAAAGTCCAAATAAACTTGTATGGTCTAAACCCCTTCATTTTGATAAAGTTGCTAAAATATTTTCACAACAAATACTTGAGGCTTACCACTGTTTTTACTTTACAGAAAAATCTACTTTAGTCAATACTTACATTGTTAGAAACACACTACAAAAACGTGTATTGGTTAAAATGAAACTTGTTGCAAGAAACCATTTTATATATGACATGCTACTGAAAAATGAATGTTCCACTCTAAATTGTAAATGTCTTAAAAGGTTTTTCCCTGTTACTGTTCATAATGAAGAGTTGAATTTGTCACTGACAGTGGACAACCTTCATAACTGATATGATCACCAACACTAATCACTTTATAATGAGTATTCTTTCTCTGAAAGTCTGTTGGGCAACAGTAAATACTGATATGCTTCTTCTCCCAAGACAAAAGTTTTAAAAGGTTCTTAGTCTAATCCAAAAGCAGGAATCATATCCAATGTTAAATAAAGAATATTTTTTCCAAAACTTAGCACTTCCATTTAAAACCAATGGGCTGTCTTCCCACTGTTGTATCTCCACAGCTTGTCATAATGAATGTTTTTTTACTTGACACCCAAGCTTTTTTAAACATGGCATACTACATTATACATATGTATCTTTTTCAAAATCATCACTAGCTTCCCTTGATTAACTGACATAAACATAGCCAACATAATTAGTTACGCCCCAGCTTTGAATAACTATATGACTAAGTTTTATATTTTATGCTTTACAGAATCCAATTATGATTATTGATTTATTTTCTTGGATCATGATTAAACTAAACTGTGGTTATGTATAAGTATGTCCCTCTACTATAAAGATCATTTTAATCTTATTCAAGTTCAAACTTCCTAATGAAGAAACCATATTTTAATATTATAATCTACTTTTTTTTAATGTTAGTTAAACTTTTGATTTTGAGAGGTTATTTTTACAGCTGTTGTGTTATTAAACAAATATTAGTACATAGTAGTTTCATTAACTACTTTATCACATAATTTTAACACTTATAAATGCAATCAATTTATGCCATGCATTTCATCACAAACTGTACTGGTATTGAAAACTTCTTTATGAGGTTTAATTGACTGTAGCAGAGTTTTATTTTACAATATAAAGCAGAATACAAACTCAACTATATAACTTCTAGGTGTCTCCTGATTAGACCAGTAAGTGACCTAACTTATTTTGTTGTGTTTTGCTCATCTTTTCTACCTTCAGTTTTTCCAATCTTATTTTACTGAAAGATTAAATGGTCTGATCTTCTCCACCAGGAATCTTCCATAATAAAGAAGATTTTGGTATCTTGTAGAGTTATGTTTTTTGCTTGCTAATACCATATCTGATTATCACCTTTATGGAAGTTTGGCAGTTCAGGTACAATAATTCTGCTCAGTCTGGTATAGTAGGACAGGTACTAGCTTCCTGGGTGATTAGGTATCCTGTTGAAAAGAATGCTACTTCTGAGTGTTCTTATAAAACAATTGATCAGCCCTTGTTAATTATAATATACTCCTAACAAATGCTTATTCCTCTTCACTCTTCAAGTGAAGATTTAGCCTGTTACATAAAAGAGGAAACCATGGATGTGATGGCCAAATGACAACTATGAGAAAAGCTCAACAACACATAGAAGAGATCTTGTCAAGTACATGAGGAAGAAGGCACACAACAGATACTTACAACTCTGACTCAAACCATCCACAGGATTTTGAACACGGGAAGACAATTATTTTTTCTGTGAAAAAAGCAATGATCACTGGATATACGAGAGTGAAGCCACCATAACAGGAAAACAGACATAGACTGTGAGAACAAGTATTCCCTTACAATTGATATAATACACTATTGTTGAACTGTCTGTATGTAGTAACACTAATCTGTGGTGGAGAGAAGGTAACAATAAATGATATGCCTGTTGGAAAGCTCAAAATTTGAGAAAGATGCTATGAAATGCCACCTTAAAAAGGGTCTAAGTGCTCGAAATGCAGTAATCTCCTAAAACCATGCCTATCCCCAAAAGAGATACATCTGTAAATAGATGAAGATCTATCAGTGAAGGAAGAAAAGGAGATCTCACAGTGGTCTATTCCCAATCCAACTAAAATTGGAAGGAGGAAAGTGTGTGTGTAGGGAGAGGAGAATATGATGGGATAATGAGATGCAGCTCTTTTTCCACTGAGACACCAAATCCCATTGTAGACATTGCATATGGACTTACCCCAAAGAAACAACATCAAATAGGGAAGCCAGAAACCCAAAAGCAGATATAGCATACATAAATGCTCAAAGAGCCATAAGAGAAAGTTTAAGAATCCCTTGAACAGAAAATATTAAAAATCCCAGATGAACAAGATATTGAGTAGGGATCTGTTGGGATTTGCAAGTGCATATGGTCCACTTAACCCTCTCTCCCCGGGTACCCATTACTGCACATGACACAAGGTTTTGGTGTCTTACATTCAAAGTTTTATTAAACTACTTTTTTGTTTATGTTATACCAATTAGAATAACATAAAATCTTAACTAATAATCCATATCTTAATAGTATAAAAATTTTAAGTTCGTAATTCTACAAGGAAATATATAAAAAAATCCTGAATTTCCACTAGTGTGACCCACGTGACACATTTTGTCTAAGCATGTCATCATCCATATTTCATCCATCACCCCTCGAAAATGTACAAAATTAAACGTAAAGTATTCTCCATAAAATCGTTATTGGTCGCACAGACCATAATTTTTATAGCCTTCAATTTTGTTTTGTTACAGAGTTATCAAATAGAAAATCAGACTCTTCCTGCTACACCCACCTGTCACATCCTCTCCTTCACAATTCGTTGATAGTTCTCTCTTACGTTTCATCATATATTACCTATAACCAATAGAAAGTCAAGGTTTTCATCTATCAAATGACATATGATATAATGGTGTGTTCTGAACAGATAAGCATAAGTTTCACTCGGAGTAGCAATATTGTTCCTGTGGGAAAGTTAACGACTCCCTTGGATGAATTTTTAACAGCTTTTGTCGCATACTTAGAAAGCCAGGAAAATTTTTAGAAGTAAGTGAATTTGTCTACTTTTTGCATGTTATTAGTCTATATTCTTTGGTGTATTACTAATTAAATAAAATTTTTTAAGTGCTTTACTATAATGACTATAAAAAATCAGGCTTAACTCTCCTCGACAATCGAGAGCAAGAAAAAAGAAGATTGGGTAAGTACTTTATTTCTTGTTTTTCATATTTATTCCTTATTTATTATTATAAAAGTAACTAAAATTAAAACTATGGATCTTTTTAAGCTATTCAAGACTAGATTAGGTAAAATAAGTAATAATAATAATATAATTAAAATGGTTCACAAGGCACGTATGCGAGCAGCTCGTGGGTAATGTAATTTGATAGTGCAACATGAGCTGCACATTCCCAGAGAGATTTACAACTTATAATGCCGTGGATAGTAGTTAGACATGGTTCAAAGGGCAATAAAACAATAAAATTTAATTATAAATACATATATAACGTTACGAACTTAGAGCTACTTAGGATAAACGAATTAAGTTTCATGTTACAATTTGAAGTCACTCTAGAAAGAAAAGAAGAGTAATTTAGGTTTATTTCAATTTTTTTTTGGTGATTACGAGCTCAGCCAAATTGACCGATCCAGTTTTGAGATAGGGTAAAGAAAATAACATATAAACTATAAGGATTTAGTGAAAACAAAACAAAAAAACTTTGAAATGCATTTAGGAGGTTTTAGGGATTACACAAAGAAAATTTGAGATGATGAAAAGTATTTTAAATTGTAACATGAAAATTACTTTGCACACTGAGTATTCAAAATAAATACTCAATATATTCATGGACAAATCTTTATTTTATTTTATTAAAAATACTTCACTAAGAAATATGATTTTTTGTATGTGAAAGACTTATAATATTAACTGAAAATCTGCCAAATTTCATGAAGATATACCCAACATATTGAGAGTTATAAGTATTAAATTTATATCAACTTTAAACAAGTACAAAAGATCACATGACTTGGTGGTCAGCCATATTTGTGTGCATCTGAGACTATGTGGACAAAAGAGCTAGTACAAGACTACTGTTGATGTAAAAATGGAAACCATGCAGAGAGAGAGCAGAAGATCTGCAAAGGCTCTGACCACTTGACAAAATAAAAATGGAACTGAATGTTAGACAAACGAGAAGGGCTTAAAACTAGTAAACCACTTCCCAATGGCAAAACCTAAGAAATGAATGAGAAACTATATTTTTTTCTACATTGGGCAACTCAATTACAATGAAAGGACCAAGAAGTAGAGCAGGTTGATGGAGTAATAGAGCAATAAGATCCATACTGATGTCAGTAGGATATATGACTTAAAGATGAAAAATAAGATGTCAAAGCCTTAACCAACTCCTGCTTTTTGTGAAACAGAAATTTTCACAGCTACAGTTCAAGCAGGGAGATTAGTATCTCATGAAACGGCAGTATGAGCAACCATATGAAAAGAGTAGTATATCCATATTGACAAGGAGCACACAACTATAGCAAAGTAGACAAAGTATTTTCTTTGTCCAACTATATGCATAGATACGTGGAATGCTGATACAAAACCAACACTTTAACCCTTTCACAATGGAAGCCCTTTAAATGCTTTTCTGCACAAGTCACTGTGTTACATTCAAAATTTAGTTAAACACCTTTAATATCAATGTATGTGAATGAAATTAATATTATAATGTGTGTTACGATTCAAAGTTTTATTTTATCGATGTTTTAAGTCCTTTATTAAATATAAACCTTTAAAAAACTACTTAAAACTTCAGATATATTGTCATGTGACCAACGAGCTATGAAAAATCTCTACTTTGGCTCTCTATGTCTACAACAATACAATGGTAATAGAGTACAGGTATGTCTAGCCACTAAGATGCTTACATAACCTTTTAACTCATTTCTTTCAAAGTACTCTGAATGCATACAGTTAAAACAAGTAATAAATTTTTCAACCCCTGACAGCTGCCACACCCAACAGATTTGCTTGAGTTTTATCCCTTCCATGTATATGTTACATAAACATATGTATATAACAATTAGAAAGAGCTCATTTTACAGCATAAATTAACAATTAACAGAGTACTTGAAATTCACTATAGTATTGTTGGCTGCTTGATGGTTGTTTCTTACCTAAATATGTTATAGTTAGAGATATAGTTTAAATTGTATTTATGACTTACTTTTACATTGTAGTTGATTATGTATTAGTTATGTTTTATAATGCATAATTAAAAGGTTTAAACATTTTTAAAATATACATTTCACTTTGCATTTGTTCTCAAGTCTTACGATATTACACAATGAATGAAAATTTTGCCAAAGGGTTGCACATTTCTCCCAAAGAACTGTAATATAACTTGAGGGCACTGTTGATTTGTGTCAAGATGAATAATAAGTTGTAAAAGACAAAAAAGGAAAATAAAACATTAAAAATTAACTATATGTGAAAAGGAAAAGATATGAATTTACGAATTTAACAAAAGGAAACTCTTTAAGGATATTCTACAAAAAATGAAAAGGTATGTTTTTTTTCTATTTCCTAATTTTGATTATTTTTTTGCATTGTTCGTTGATGATAATAGCTAGAGTTAGTGATATGGTAGAGAAAATGAAATATAACAATTTACCTTAAAAAACTTTTGATATCCTTTTAGGAGGTTATAGAGATTATGCAAATGAAATAAGAAAAACTATACGATGAAGAAAAGTATTTTTATACTTAAAATGAAAATCACTTTTCACTTGATTTGTTAATAGTTTGAACGTGAGTAACTACAATAGAAAAATAACATATTTTTGGTAAAATACATGGTTATAAAACCATCATTATTTGTGTACAAGATACTTATAATCTTGAATGAAATCTTACCAGTTTTTGAGAGGATATATTAAGAAATCTCAGGGTTATGGCATGTATTTTTGTACAAGTGAAATTCGCAACTCGATTTCCACAAATTGCATAAGCCCGCTGTGAAAGGGTTAGGATAACAGGAGATAATTTGAATGAGGAAACACTTTAGATCAAGGAGTTTTTATATATTAAACTACTCCAACCAAGACTGAACTTAAATAATTGTTGATTTTGCTCCCAATAAAAATAATAAAATTTCTTAGACCAGTCCAAGAAAAAATATGTTAACTTAAAATTATCAGTCAAAATAACAGAATAAGCTTAATTAGGCTTAACATAAAAGCAATAGTTTCATTAAAATTTAAAAACATTTAATAGTAGTCACACATAATAAGGATATATCAAAGTTTTACCCTATAAGTGAGAAGACTTTGACACATGTCAAACATACCTTGCACATGAAAATTCTATTGTCATACTGGTGTTGATATCTGCATTTTGTTGTGGCTATATGAGGAGTTCCATCTCTTGTATGATTCATACTGTTGCTACAACGCACACTGTGGAAAATTCGGCAAACATTAAATAGCAAAAATATGATTTTGATTGCAATATAATGAATAAAAAAAATTCAGAACATGAATCAATATCTTTTTTAATACAAGATACAATTATCAAATAAATAAAATATTCATCTACCAAAAGATTTATTTACAAAGCATATATTACAAAATAACAATGTATTCTGGATAGTTTTATAGATTTCTAGACACACCTGTTCTACATATACATAAAGTAAAACAAGTGCTTGCCAATGAGCAAAATCTTTTTCATGAAGTTTATTGTTAAATTATTTTAACACAGGTTGCATGCTTGTACACAAAAATTTGCATTTGAATATTAGTAACATACCAAATTGAAAAAATAAATAAATATATATATATATATATAGAACACAGTTTTTGTACCTGCATGACAGGCAGTGGTTATTACAAGCAAAATACTGGTCAGGAAAGGAACTAGGGAGAGTCTTTTCCAGCTCACCATTAAACTTTTCATTTAAGACCTAAAGAATGTAGTAAAATATAAAAACATCAGTTTTGTATTTTGCTATATGCATATACGAAAACACATTTAAAAAAATACAAAAGTTTTATAATAAATACACATTCTATATATGATTCTGAAATACTGAATCCTTTTAAAATGTTAGAATTGAGGGTAATTCCCACTTATTAAGTGGATCCCAAATACTGTAATTTAATCTGAAACTAACATGAAGAAAAAGTTTCATGAATATAAAGAATAGCATGTCTTTTTGCTTGATCTTGAACATTTTTCTTTCAACAAATAGACTTAATTTAATAATAATACATAGATTCTTCCAAGAACTAGTAAAAGTTCCTATGAACTGATAAAAATCAGTATATCAATAAAACCTATTACTTCCACATTGAATTAAGTGTTAGTAAAAGATATAAAGGTTCTTTATTTTTGCTTACACAGTCATATTTGGAACTTAAACAGAGAGATATTCAACTCAAATCATTGCTTATATACAGTCCTGTTAATATGTTTGTTTTTAAAGCAAAGTTACATTGGGCTACCTGCTGTATCCACCACAGGGAATTGAGCCCCAGACTTTAGCAGTGTAAATCCATAAACTTACTGCTAACCCACTGGGAGACTATTTGTTAATACGAAATGCATATATATATTTGCACTTACATGACCTTTCATGTTTACCGTTTCATGAAAATTAACTTGTTTAAGTCAAAGGCTGTTTTAGATACACAAAGTTTATCTTTTCTTTTTTTGTGATTCATATATTTGTCAGAATCTGGTTACAACTATATTTAAACTTTTTCAATAACTAAATTCACATTCTAGTAACAATATTCATTGGTATTGAGAAAGAGACAGGAAATATGTTTCATAAAAAAATTAAATTAACAAAATGTTGCAATATATAACCTACAGGAAATCACTTAAAATTCTAAAACATGTGAAAATAATCAGAATAACTTAAAGCTTCCATATAAAAAGAACAACTAAAAATATCTATAATACTTATAATAATGCACAAGCTTCAATGTTACTGATTTTAATATTATACTTTGACAAGGAAGAAGCAGAAATGATGCTAGATACATTTTTTTTATTGCAAAATGAACAACCTGTTCTCAGCTTTTCATCCAACATTTTATGGCCCTTGATGTTAAGAACTAAGTTGCATTTACACCATTTATATTATTAGTTTGTTCAAAAGGTAAGATGAAAAATATTTTAAGGAAGAAAAATAATGACATTTATTCTTACATGGAAAAAACTTTTCAGAATCATGCATTTAAGTGAATGTTTGTATTTGCCAAAAAGAATAAATTTCAGTTGAGAAATGAAACAAATAAATTTTAAGAAATAAAACCATAGAAAATACATGTACAGTATAAATCTCACATGTTATGTTTCACAAACATACAGTCTGGAACAGGTAATGATGTGACAAATTTGAGGATGTTTCAATTTCAACACAAGGAATATGATTTTGGAGATACATCTTTATGAAAGGTTTTTGTCAGTTTCATATAAAAGATTAACATATGAATTAGACATTAACTGACTGTGAATTTAATGTCTGATAAATGAGTTCCAAGCCTTTGCAGCCAAGCAAAGGCCAAAAGGTATTGCAAAAGCAAAAGGATCCAAGAAAGATTACTACTAAGAGTTTATAACAGCTGATTTATCAAAATTCATGTGGTGAAATGCCAATTCAGTCAATTACAGATAATACACAACACATGAGTAAACATAACATTCTAACTCTGTCTTGTGCCAGCACAAGTCTTTTATTCAATACCAAAATCAATATATAAAGAGCTCTCATATATAATCACTAAGTGTTTTACACCAAGCAAAAGGCCAGCTAAACTGAAGCACATGGTAGGTAAAAGTTGCAGTTGAAATACTGTTACACAAAACAACAGTTCACACTCTTTAATAAAATGAACAAAAAGGTATATGGGAAAAAATTAAGTACATACATAAGGTATTTCAACATACAATAAAATGAAAGATTTGAAGACTAATGGAAAAATCTGTTTAGGTAACCTAAAATATTGGTCAAACAATTATGTGGAGAATGTTAAATGCTATCTATAAATAATATAAAATCTACAGGCTCATTACGTGCTAATTGGGAAATCTGAAATGAAATCTCAAACAGTCTCAAGAGATCATTCAGAAGCTAAACTGAAAATGTTTTATTCATCTCAACCACACCAATGCACTAAAGGTTGTTTTGTTCATATTATCCATATCACTGCACTGAACGTTTTTTCCACCCTTTTGATATGAAGAAAACTCAGTGTGGTGTTTTGGCTGTTGTGTACAACATTTCAGTGCAGTGGTATGGATGATATGAAGAAAACTCAGTGTGGTGTTTTGGCTTCATACCACTGTACTAAAAGTAGTTTTACATCATTTTAAATTGCTATGACCTTTGCTATTAAACTAGTAGCTAAACTGTGTATTAAAACTATAGTACCAAGCTAGAAGAAATACTATTCTCAACACTATAAAATTAATGTTTTAAAAAAGATTATCCAAAATAATGCTGATAAATGTTTACAAACTAAAATAAATTTATTACTCAGCAATACATAGGGATTACTATTATTCTTGCATATCTTTGACCTGTAACTTAAAAGTGGGCAGCACTGAGCAAGGCTTGATTTTATTATTCATGATCATCTTCTATGTAAATTACACCAAAGTCTCATAAATGGTTACAAGGATTAGAAAGTTGTTTTGTAAAGTAATAAAGTAATTACACCATAAATAGTGGGTTGGCAAGAGCCCTAGAAATGTACATATCTGATAAAGTTCATCTAATTTTCAATTTGTTTTTATAATCATAAGATATCTTTTAAGCACTGACGATTGAAAATAACAAAAAGGTTACATTCTTTTACATAGTTTGTGTGACCTTGAGTGTTCATTTTTAGAAAGCAGTGTGCATACACTATTTCACAGTAAAGTTAGCAAGAACTGAATATGCTGCTCTACTATAATACTGAATGCTCTAATCTATTAGTACTTTATATTTCTGTTTTCTTTTTCTTTCTAAGAATGAACCAAGTACCTAAATGTACATTCAATTAAATGTGAAACTGATTTTCTAAAGCAAAACACTCTCAGCTAAATTAACTCCATGTATTTATTTGAGTCTTATAAATAAAACAGGTTACTTTTTTTTAAGAAGTTTTCTTATTTCAACTCTGAGTACATATTTAAAAATTACAGCTTCAAAGTAAGCTATTTTAATGTACCTTGATGAATTAATATGAACTGCTGGAATCTGTTTTCTGCTTATTTGTTTAATCTTCAATGTAAAACATCTCCAATTTAAGTTACTCATGACAACCATAACATATGAATACTTTATTTGTACCCAAGATTATATCGATACCCATATATACATGAGGGTTAAGATTTTTGTCTTCCTAGCTTTCAAAACCATTTTATTTATTCCAGTTTGCGTAGTTGGAAAATAAATGTTCTGAAAACAAACATGATATACAGACTTTTGTATTAAAATAAAAATGGATGAAAACACAATATATATATTCTTAAACAATTAAAATGTTGAAAACGAACTAATGCAACATTCGTTTTTGCCCCTGGTAATAAGCACAGCCTGCATTCAAAATTTGTAAGTCACCATCAAATGCAATCCATACAACACATAAATACAGTATATGAAATAAAAATGATAGGCATATGTAAATCTGCTGACCTTAAGTGCCTGATAAACTACAGTAGATGACCTTGCTGATCGCACAGAGGAGTTCTGAAGATGCTTTTGTACAGCCCTTTGGAGACCAAAAAAAGAGGTTGGAAGCAGGGACGTTTGTGTTCCCACATATTCCAGGGCACTGAATGCATCAACAGACTGAGACAGTTTTTGAAATCTCAGTTTAAGTATTTCTTCTGGACTTTGTCCATTTTCTGGGAAGAAGTTGTAAAATATAAACAGTCATAAAAATAAACCAAGACTTAAAACATCAGATACAAAAATAACAAAAAAAAGAAAAGTAAATTTAATTTACTAATTTGATATTTTGATAAAAGTAAAGATTTTAACATTGAAATTCAGATTTATGGTGCAAAATAATTACAATAATAATATTCATCACTAAAACAGCTTCACTTTTATGACATTGCACAACTGAAACTTACTTTCACTGTTTTTTCTCTGACTTGCAAAAATATATGAAATATACATATATATATATATATTATATAAACTCAAACAGTTTCATTAAAAATAAAAGATATGAAGAATAAGCCTAGTATCCAAAACTAACTGCATTTCTTCCAAAATAGTTTCTTTTTTGGACAATTGAAAATTGAATTTTAAGTGAAGCAGGTCTGACCACTTGAATCAAAAGTGCTTTAACAAATGCTACACTTTTTAAATACTTTTCCTTGCATGTCACAAAGTGTTATCAAGTTACATTCAAAATTTAATTAAACCAATTAACTGCCAATGTATTTTAATCAAAAGTGCTTTAACAAATGCTACACTTTTTAAATACTTTTCCTTGCATGTCACAAAGTGTTAGCGAGTTACATTCACAATTTAATTAAACCAATTAACTGTCAATGTATTTTAATTAAAAGTGCTTTAACAAATGCTACACTTTTTAAATGCCTTTCTGTGTATGTCACAAAGTGTTATCAAGTTACATTCAAAATTTAATTAAACTGATTTATTGTCAATGTATTTTAATGATATTAGAGCCATTAATTACATCATAATTCAATGTTTTGTGTTATCCAAGTTATTATTCCTTTATTTTGAAAGAAACCTCTAAAACAAACACTTAAAACTTTAGTTTTCTATCATGAAACACACATGCAGTTGAAATATCTTAAGATTTGGTTGCTTATGTTGCTATTCAGTTTTGTCTCAGTACCTCTACAACAGTCTACACAAATTTCTACAAGTATAATCTTTAGGTCTAAATATTAGTTTCATTTTACAGCAGCTAAAATTCTAAGAAGGAGCTTATTTTTTTTTTCCTTTCTGGTAGAAGCCATGCCCACATTCCAAAGTAATCTGTTGCTGAGTAACAGTCTTTTCTAGACTTGAATGGCATGCTTACAACCAACAGAAAGAGCAGATTTCTTGTGTAATTTCTGCAGGCCAGGCAATAAACTTTTTTCAAATGATCAGTGAACTGCTGCAAAGTCCTTTGATGAGATCAGTATCCCTAGTGCTTAACTATTTTTTTTTTTGCCTTAGACATATTAGTCTGATAAGACAGTTACATTGCATTTAGGTTTTGCTTTTATATTTTAGTTAATCATGTATTATTTTGGTTTTAAAATTCATACTTGAAAGGTTTAATGAATATTTAACTTTTCTATTTGTTGCTTCACTGGTCAAAAGTTATAAAAATAGGCGAGTGCAAACATTTTTCCAAAGGTTAAAGCATCTCTGCTCATCATAGCTTTATTTGGCCCGTGGGTACCAGTTGACATTTCAACATAAATAACAAAAAAGAACTGGAAAGGGAAGTAAAACATTAAAAATAAACTGCAATGAAAAGGTAAAAACATGAAATTAAACATATGACTGAAAGAAAAAATATTATTATTCAATGAAGAGACAAAAGGTAAGTACATTCTTCCATTTCTTAATTTTAAACATTTTATTGCACTGTACATTGGTGATAATAGCTAGTTATTAATAAAGTAGAAAAAAAAATGAAAAATAAAATATAAACTTTTACCTCAAAACACTTTTGATATTCATTTAGCAGGTTCTAGAGATTAATGAAATGAAATGTGAAAACTATAAAAATAATAGTATTTTTATTCTCAAAATGAAAATCACCTTCCAGGTGAACTATTCAGAGGCCGAGTGCAAATAACTACATTAAATAAAGAATTTTTATTAGAAATAGTAGAAAAAGTCAAAAGTTATTATTTTCCTACACTGAAAATATATTTCTGATAGGTACCTACCTCCTGTCACACATACAGCTATTCTCATTCAGTGCTGCCCTCTATATGAAAAATATTTTTTGCATGCCACAAGCATTGATCAAGGTACACTGAGTCTTTGCATGTAAATCATCATGTGAAAAACCTCCACCAACAGGAGCACGACACACCTTCCTGATGCATATGACTCCCTCTATTCAATTCTACCGAACTATCACTTTGAGATCAGGCAGAAAGGAAACACCAGTTTGAAGTGGGAAGGAGTGGTTGGAAATGTGAAAGGAGGTAAGTACCTATCAGAAATATATTTTCAGGGGAAGAAAATAATAACTTCTGATAAAGTATCTTACCTCCGCTCGCACATATAGATAGAATCCCAAATTAAAGTGGTGAAGGGATTGGTGCGAGAGATATAGAGAAGTATCCTTTGAAAACGGCTGAAGAACACCCTTGAAGTGTGACCTCCATTGGGAGGGGAACACATATGGGAGACTGCACCACTCCCTTACCATAGCATGTATCCTATAAAGTAGTTCTAATGTTTTATCACAAAGGGAATGGGTGCCACCATGGGGATTGATATAGGTGACAACCGTGGACTTGTCTGAGTGGATCATGATGAGTTGGTTCCATACAATAGGAAGAAAATGATCAATAGCACATTGTACTACCAGAAGCGGCACAACATTTTGTTCTCAGACCATTGACCAGAAGCCACCCCCTGATTGACCCATACTCCCTAACCATGGAGAAAAGCATTAGTGAAGAGATGCAAAAATATTCAACCACCAATGTAGATTGTCTGTAAGGGAAGGAGGAAGGGTAATTAGGGAGTCTAAGGAATCTCAAGCAAGATTCAACTAGTTGCACAATGTCCACCGAAGAGAATGCATATGTATCTGATGCAAGGGGATAAGGGCTTCCTCGCATGGAGAACTGAAAGCTCCATCAAATAGAGATGAAGTGGAGAAGGTTGTGCCCAAATAAGGTACATGTTGAAAAACTTAAATGGATAAGATATTGGGCAGGCATCAGGAAAGACTTCTCCAACTTTAAAATCCAACCAACTCAAGCTGCTTCTCTCAATAGCAAATGAGTGTGTTGAGAAGATTCCTGCAGAATGAGCTAACAGGAGCCAGTCGATCATATAGTGGTGGAAGTTCAACCCTCCAGCATGCATAAGTTGGGCAAAGACTTTGATCACCCAACAAGACATATGGTGCTGAAGTAAGCACAAAAGATAAAGCACAAAACTGATACACAATCCCGTAGTAGACACATCAAAGGTAGTGTAAACCAACGAGAAATAGGAATATAGAAATATGTGTTCGAGACACCTTCCTTGGTCATCCACAGACCTGGAGAAAAAACCCACCGTGTGAGAAAGGATTCCCTAGTAAAGCAGCGAAGATCCAGAAACTGGTTGAGGCTGGACAGATCGATCACATGATGCCAGTCCTTGGTTTCCTTGTGGATGCCAAAAAACTTTAAGTTAATGCCTGAGGAATACTGGCTGAGAGGCTCAATAGCTTGCTGTCATAGAAGAGTCTGCACAGCTTGGGATAGATGTTGACTGGTAACAGGAAGGATATAGATACAGGAGATAATGGAGGAGGGTAAAGGAGATGGATAAAAAGTCCATCTGACAAAACCTGGATCACCCACAGATCATGAGTGAACTCTTGCCACGGGTGAACAAAATTGGTCAAATGTGGAAATGTGACCAGAAACCACCTGATAGTCACCGGAACTGCTGGCAACGATGAACTTGACATCGAGACACATGATGAAACAATGATCCTCTAGTGGTAAAAACTGGAAAAGGATGGTAGGGAGCAGGACATGAAACAGGTATGAGTGAGGGCATGGTAGCAGGGTAAGGTAAATAAGCAAACAAAAAAGAAGAAAGGGTTGAGTATTGTCTCACATATTATACATGTGACTTTATTGACTCAGGAATATCTCCAAAGAAGACCAATGGAGAAAAGAAACCATCCACAGGTCCCAAAGATAATAGGAAGAAAGATAAACCTGAGTCAAGATAGTATCATTCCCAAGTAGATCCCAACATTAAAGAAACCATGTGCGAAGAGACAGGGCTGAGGAGGACAATCTCGCTAACATGGAGGTAATGAGCGAAGAGGTATCCTCCAAAAACCCCACAGGGGATCGATGTACTGAATCCAAAAGTAGATATATGGAAGACAAGTACTGTAGGAGAGCAGTAAGGGCAAGACAAAAATCAGGAATACTGGCCTTGGGACAAACAGATAGGATTCTCAGGGTCATTCCCCCACACTGTCAAAAGTTATATTATTCCTACAGAGAAAATATATTTCCAACAAGTACTTACTTCCACTTACATACATAGCTATTCTCATTCAGTGCTGCCCTCTATTTGCAATTTTTTTGCATGGCACAAGCCTTTTACTTCTACGTACTCCTCAGTTCACATGGTTTAACCAATTCACGCACATAAATCATCATGCAACAAACCACCACCAACAGATGTGCGTCCCTCACATGACTCATGTGACTCACTCTTATGCTATAACTTCGAGTTTAGGCAGAAAATTAAGCACCGGCAGACAGTGGAGAAGAATGGTGGGAAGTGTGAGCAGAAATATATTTTCAGTGTAAGAAAATTATAACTTCTGACAAGGTACCTTACTTCTGCTCACATACATAGCTAGAATTCCACATTAATAAGGTGGAGGGACTGGTGCAAGGGAGAAAATAGAAACATCTTTCAACAACATCTGAAGGACCTCCCCAAGAGGGAACCCTCTGATAAGAGGACTGCACCATTTCTGTACTAGGTATACTCTTTGCCCAGATGTGGAAAAGGTGAGACTGATTTTGGCATACAAATTTGAGGAGTACATCCCAATGTGGGTAAAAGAAGAGATGTGCCCCAAGGTGTAGAGTAGCTAAAGCAAAATGGACCATACACAGCAAGTCAACTGCATCCAAAACTCAACTGCCGGGAACTGAAATCCATCCAGGGGTAGGATAAGGATCATACTATTGGTGAGTCAACTACAATCGAATACTCAGCCACTGGGAACTGACATCCATGCAGAGGTAGGAAAGAGAATCATACCGTCTTCACCTCAAGTTCACCCAACCGAAGAAAGAAATCCAACCAATTGGCAAATAGGGCACACGTGAGCAGAATGAAGTACATATATATCCACCTCAAATCAAACAGATCAGAACCACCTCAAAAGCAGTAACATCCTCAGCATAAAGACATTAAGCGGTAGCACAAGAGGAAGAAGCAGAGCAATTCCCAAGTACACACTGGGGCAGTGCACTTGAGGCAATTTGAGCATGAGTGAATTCTTGCCACAGGTGAACAAAATTGGTCACATGTGGAAATGTGACCAGAAATCACCTGACAGTCACCGGAACTGCTGGCAATGATGAACCTGACATTGAGACACATGATGAAACAATGAGCCTCTAGTGGTAGGAACTGGTAATATGTGTGAGGACATGATGTTGATTGGTTCAGCTCTAAATCCAAAACTCAACCACTGGGTATCAACATCCATGAGGGATCCCAATCAGCACAACATGCATGTGGACAATATGTTGATTGGTTCAGCTCTAAATTCAAAACTCAACCACCAGGAACAGACTTTCATGCAGGAGTAGAATGAGGGATCCCACTTGCACAACACGTGTGAGGACATATGGCAATTGGTTCAGCTCTAAATCCAAAACTCAACCGCCAGGAACTGACATCCATGCAGGGTAGGATGAGGGATTCCAATCATACTACATGTGTGAGGACATGATGTTGATTGTTTCAGCTCTAAATCCAAAACTCAACCACTGGGTATCAACATTCATGAGGGATCCCAATCATCACAACATGCATGTGGACAATATGTTGATTGTTGTCAGCTCTAAATCCAAAACTCAACTGCCATGGAACTTACATCCATGTGGGGTAGGATGAGGGATCCCAATCATTATGACGGTGCACTCCAAAGCTACAACATCTTTTCACACAAATCCATGCAGAGATGGAGCATCCATTTCTAGAACATCTCATCACCTATATCAGCAGAACTCCACAGCCTTACTCTTAACTGAATGGAGTCTATATTGTTTATATTGTATATCTTTCATTCAGGAGGATACCTCCATGGTCCACCACCCCAGTGACTTGGAACTGGAAAGTGGTAAGGGCTCTTATTCCACTGGGAGAAGTGGGGGGGGGATGCAGTGGAGACTAAGGATGACCTTTCCCACTGGAGACAGTGCAATGGGTGATCACGAAACACTATTTCAAAAAGGAATGGCAGAGATGGGTAGTAATCCCCTTCTGCTTTACCCATGAAATCTACAGGTTAGTAAGATCTAGAATGGGCATATTAATGAAGCAAAGATATCGAGAGGAATAACCTATGAGCGATCTTGTGGAACACCCCATCTCTAGTTTATGTGATTGAGTAGTGTATGTTTTGTGGCCATGGAAATTATAAAAGTGAAATCAACATGGCTTTACAGTGCAAGTTTTAGTACAAATTCTAAGTGATTGAAGTATATCTAGAAAGGGACCACTTGCCACAAAGTAGGATCCCAGTCAAAACATGGGACAGGCCCCTGAAAAATAATATATATAACAAACTCACCCAGTTACTGTCTCACTGAAGAGTGAAGGATGGTGACAGGTGGAAGATGGTACCCAAAAGAGGAAAACACATCTACCCAAAGCAGAGAATGGGTGATGACCATATATGGTGTAGCCCCAGTACTCAACAGATGAAGTTCATCCAATTGACATTTGGGTTTAGATGCAGGTAAAAGGGAATGTGCCTGATCAGAGTGAAAACACCAGGAATTGATGTGAAACGTGTCTAAAAAATGGTGAGGTAGGCCTAGCAGATTCTGTAGTAGAGGCCTGGGAAAGCAAGCCATAATCAGGAGGAAGAAAAAGTATAAATTATAAAGAATTATGAAAAAGAAAAGTTGAGATAATGTGAATCTATGTAAGTGTGTCGTGAAATAAACATATGTATTAGATTTTATGTGTTGAAGAAAACAAGATACTGAGCATAATGATCCATTTACACATAAGATGAATTACAGGTAAACAGACACTTGTTAAGCCTAATCGAACTGAGCGGTACAAAGTATATCACCAATCTCAAAGCCCTAACCAAACAATAAGTATGTACAATATTGGGAGAAGTTTGTGCAGACCCCATCTCCAGAGGTCCACACAAACAAAGTTAATATGAAGAAGTGTAAAATATATATATATATATATATTTCATAACAAAAAGGAAATAGGCATTATATTGTAAAATTAAGTAAGTGTATATTGACAATAATATATGTATGAGATGTGATGTATTGAAAAAAACAAAAAACTATAGCTAACCTAGTTTATGATATACCAGTAACATGAATTAAAGGTAAACCTAAAATAGCAAAGACTGATGTTAAGCCTAATCTAATGTTATAAGACAAAGGCAGACCATATTTCAAAATGTATGTGCCCCCAAACTCAAGTTTATGCCTGACGAAGGTCAGCTCATTGGATGATCAATCTCCCAATTAAATAAAGCTAAAAATTCTCCATAGAGGACCGTGCTGATAAAAGATATAACCCCCAAAGTGGTAACTTAGAATTTGGAATTCAGAATTCCAAATGAATAACCAAACTCATCTGTGTTGGCAGAGAGAAATAAAAAGTATTAAATTCTGTAATTTAGTAGAAATATAAAATAATTCCACATCGGAATAATTTACAAAAATATCACTATTGTATAATAAACAGTAAACTTGTTGAGAGAAATTGATATGTAGATACAGGAGGGGGGGAACCACTTGAAGAGAGCACAAATTAAACGACTGAACACGAGCACTGTCAAACAAGAAGTGATAGTTAGGTAGAATAGCATAGAAGGAGTCACGAGTCACATGTTAACTGGTTAAACCAAGTGAACCGTGGGGTAAGTAGGAGTGAAAGGTTTGTGTCATGTGAAAAACAGAACAAGACTAGCTATGTATGGGAGTGGAAGTAAGGTACCTTGTCGGAAGTTACTCCAGCTGCTGGGAGTCAAGAAAAGGTTGATCGGCCTGATGGTAAGACAAACCATTATGATCAAAAACCCATGGAAGACAAGATATGCTAGCTTCAGCACACAACTGAGAAACAAAATCTTCAGCATGTACACTGATGTCAGGGGAAGGAGGGGAAATAAGGTACTCTAATGACAGTGTGTCATGTAACAAGGAAGGAACAGGATCATAAGAAACTGGGGAAAAAGAGATAAAATGGCACACACCTGAAAAATTCTGTCCAAAATGACAGAGGGAGGAATTCATGGAAGACTGAAAAAAAATTTCCAAAGGTAAGTTATTATTATGGGAAAAAAACTTCAGACAACCAACTGTAGCAAATAATAATACACAAAAAATCAGTGTGTCAAAAGAGCACAATTGAAAACATCTGCACTAAACAACTGCATGACGAAAAGTGATAGTTCAGTAGAATTGAATTTAGATAGTCACATGCATAAGGAGGGTGTGTCACACTCCTATTGGTGGAGGGTTGTTGCATGATAATTTACATGCAAAGACACAGTGAACCACGTTAACTGTGGGGTAAGTAGGAGTTCAAGGATTGTGGCATGGGAAAAAAATCTTGCATATAGAAGACAGCACTGAACAAGAACAGCTATATGTGTAAGAGTAAGTAGGAGGCTAGATACCATATCGGATTTAAATATTTTAATTTTCTGAAACTCCAAACTTTTAGGAAGGTTCTTGTTAAATTTCAAACAATTTCATCCACTAGTTTTATTTTTGGAATGAAATATAATGATAACAGCATTAGGTCCAACAATTTGTAGGACCTAACATTGCTATCGTTATATTTCATTAGTCATAGGGTTAAGCTTCATATAATGAAAATGCATTTGCTAAATTGTAACAGGTAATATTCCAATTTGGAAAAAAAAAAGAAGAAAAAACAGTGGCATGTGGAAATGGCCAAAACAAAAGTACTAAAAACTGGTTTTGGCAAAAAATAATAATAATCAGAAATTGCACACATACATGAACTACACAAAATATATATAAGAATTTTTTTCAGTTAAGATATATATGTTCTTTTGAAGTTCAACAGTCCTAACCTGAGTACACTGAACAACATCTACAATGGCACTCTACAAAAATTTAAGTATCAGAAGTTACAAAAAAGAAACAATCTTTGTTTAAAAACATTTTAAAACCTAAGTCAAGCTGAAGTAGCATTTTTCAAACAAAGCTACTTTCTTTGTAAATGTATATAGATATTTTAGATCCCTTTACTTTAACATAATATTTTTCGTTTACAACAATCCCCAAATATTTCATGAATATAAGTGCCCCTTTACACAGACATTTGACCAATCAAAACATTTCAGTTAAGAATCAGCTAACTCACCTTCTTTAAGAATTTGTGTATGTAAGGTTTCATGAAATATTATCACTGCAGGCCCAAGTGAAGACAGAGGACCCACAAATTTGCATCTCTCAGAGGCAGCTTTGAGTTCCCTAGAAAAGTGCCGACAGTATGCTTTAGAAGCATCTCCCAGGAAAGTAAAAAGATCATTATGTAATCGCTCAGCTCTGGTGCGATATATAACAATGTCAGAAACTGCAAGCACCTGTAAGAAAAATCACATTAATGAAACTAATACATATAAATATAAAAACCTATATTTATTTTGGTTTCAATACTGAGAAGTCTAAATTATCCAGATTTATAATTATCTTAGTTGTACAATAATATTCAAACTAATATCAAGTGATCAGAGGAACTGACAGTAAACTAGAAAATGCTAATGCTTTACATAAAAAACTGTTAACTTGAAAGTCTAATTATAACAAAATAAAACCACACCTGAACACATACACATTAACTAATGCTTAAGATCATCTATCAAGGTTATCAATTTGGTATTTTAAAGGTTTACTTTACAGTTTACCAACTATTGTTCATACCTTGCCTGCTCGCAGACAGGTTACATGAGCAGAGAAAAATGGTATGAATCAACATGATATAATTGGAGACTTTAGACATTTAAATTTAATATTTGTATAAATAAATAAATATGTACATTCAGATTATTTTTCTGCAAAACGTTTGATTTTAGTTTCCTTTTACAACACCAACCTTTACTAAAGTAATCAGGTCATAATGTTGCAGCAAGTATTTTGTTAATAATTTGAAAATATTCATTTTGGACAATGTATCTAGTTTGAAACATTTGTAGCAGAATGGATACATACTTATAATGGCAGTAAAATAAGTTGATGAAGGAGTTAAATGGTGGAAAGTACATGCAAATATGAGACAGCTAAGCTAATGTGAATTTTGGAATGTGTAAAATTCCAAGTTGAAGCAAAAAGTGCATTAAAACATAGTTGAAAGCAGATGGAAAAGAAAGTTCAATGTTATTGGAATGTTTGTTTGTTGACAGAGATTTCATTTATTTGAAAAAATCCAGGGATCTATTTAACCCAAACTCCCACGTCTCATACCCATGATAATTTGTTGGGACACATAATATTTGATCCCCATGTACAGAATATGCACCATAAAATGTCCCATATGCAAGGCAAGTACTTTGATTCAAACTTTGTACCATAACAAACAAACAGTATACAGTTTGCACACAGCTGTCCACAATCATCTTCTAATAGGTTTCATCAATGATAATAAACTGCACGAAAATAAGGCCACGTGAAAGTACCGTATGATTAACCCTTTATTATCAATGTATATAAATACACTCCACATAAGAATGTACATAATAATTCAAAGTTTAGTATTAGTTATGTCTTAAGTTCTTAATTTTATAAGAAAATATTTAAAAAAAACTCTCTATCTCTCCCAGTATGAGAACTGTGACGTTTCTTATCTATGTCTTCCCTCTTCTCTGATTTTTTTACCACCCTTCCAAAAGGTATGAAATTTAATATAAATTACTCTTTATAATGTTTTTATTTTTCAGGCAAAGATAATTTATATAGTCTTCAATCTTATTTAGTTACAGAGTAATAAAATAGAAAATCAGACCCCTCTTGCCACGCCCATCTGTCATATCCTCTCTTTCAGAACTTGCAAATAGTTCTCTCTGACATCAAAAACTATATTATTTATAACCAATAGAAAGCCAAAGTTTTCTTTTATCAAATGATGTAATATATCACATTGTTGTCTGTTCAGAGAATTGTCTATTTTCCATCAGATTCAAACCTTATTCCTACAGGAAACACATTAATGAGCTTAGTTGAATCTTTAATGGCTTTCGTTGTACAGTTAGAAAGCCAGAAAAACTGTGATAGTTATGGAACATTGTTTCCTTTTTGCATGTTATTATTCAGTGTTCTTTGGTGCATTATTTAATTAACTAGAAACTATTTAATACAGTTGTAATTAGTATAATTAAAAAGTAGGGTTAAGTTTCATCGACAGTTGAGAGCAAAAAACAAGACCCAGGTAAGTACTTTATTTCTTGTTTTTAATGTGTATTCTTAATTTATTATTATAAAAGTAACTAATACGTAAAAATATAAAACTTTTTAGGTTAGTTAAAGCAAAATAAATAATAATAATATTAATAACAATTTGTTTATGAGTTACACTCATGAGTAGTCCATGCATTTTGTTATTTGATACCGTAAAGTGAGTTGCACGTTCAACATGCAATTTGAAATTTATATAGTGCAAATAATAGTTAGACATGGTTCAAAAGACAATAAAACAATAAGATTTATGTATAAATAGATGTATAAGCTACTTAGAATAAACAATTCTGTTACAATCTGCAGTCATTCCAGAAAGAAAATAGGGGAACTTTGAATTATTTCCTAATTTTTTATGGTGGTTACGAGGTCGGTCAAATCAACCAACCTCATATAAAGTTAGGGTAAAAAATAACAGATAAAATACAAAGTTTTTCTGAAGAAAAACATTTGATATTCATTTAGGAGGTTTTAGGGGTTATGCTAATGATATTTCAAAATTTTCAGATGAAGAAAAGTATTTTTAATCTTATCATGAAAATTATTTTGCAATCATAAAGGGAAACAATAGGCAGTGTAAATTGTAAATAAAGTTTTTTCATTGAACATTAATTTGCCCTTTTCCACTTGCAGAAAGTAAACATGTTGTGTTTATTGCAAATAGTTTTTCATTGACACTGAAATGCTTTTTTCCTTCTCTTTTTTTTGAGTTTATTAAACTCTACCTATGAGACCCTTGAAAATCTTGCTGGGACTCTTAGATAAAAAAAAGTTGAGGGTCCGGGACCCTAGTGATCACCCTGAAAGCCCACAATGTGCACACCTAAGGCATGTGTGTGTGTGTCACGTGGTTTTTAAAAACAATTATATCACCAACCTGCATGATACTCAGTAAAAAATGTATTAAATAGTATCCACGTCTGGCTTTAAAATAATCATGTAATTTGGTGTACTTTTTCTATGATTTTTTACATTATGAAATTAAAAGACTTTTGTTCAGAGACTCTATTCTGAAAAATCATTTACAATATTCCTTTCATCATAGAATTTGATTTTCCTTTATTGTTAATGAGAATTTCCATGATATATACATATAACATACTTTCAACATGTTTTATATTCATTAATATATTTCTTTTGATACTTTACTTTGCCAACTACAGCAGTCACCAGTTCCAGTTATAAATTATAAAAAAATGAGGCAAAAACTAATGAAGCTTTATCAGTGACCTATGATCTGACCTGTCTAAATCTAACTATGCTTACCTGATGTCTTGTCACAGAAGAAACTTTTACGTAACTTTCAAACAAATATAATTGAACATGAAAACATTTTCAGAAATGAAAAGAATGTTTAATGAAACTATAAAAATTCTCAGACTTTTGTTTCTAAGTTTTCTAAATTTTCCACTACATTCCAATTCTTTCCTGTAAGAGATACATCTAATAATTTTCCCATGAAACTACAAGTTACTTTTTACACTTCTTTATTCACACTACAGTTTATAATGTTCTATAATCAAGAGTTTTTAAACTTTGCTTGTAGATATTTTCAAAGCAGAGATTCATCAGTGGTTTTTCAGATGACATGCTGTGAGGTCATAAAAGGGAGTAAATAGGCTATATTAATAAAATCAAAGAAACAGAAAGAAAATCATTTGATTAACAAAACCTTAAGAATTATAACCTCAAGGGATGATAGCTTCTTAGCATACATAAACCTATGCTTTGGCTTGGGTAAAAGAATTCTTAAAAAAGATCTATAAGTGCATTGTTTATAGGTAAGATTCCTCAAAGCAGTGCAGAAATGAATGTCTGAATATTCTATCATTTTTCTTTGCAAATTACAGTACATAAGTGTTACAAGATGACAAAATATCAAATCTAATATACTTTTAAGCAAAAATATTGTTGAAATAGTCATTATTTTTACTTAAATTTTGAAATTTGACGTGCAGACGTGCACTCAACATCTGATCTTTAAAAGGTGCTCATTTGTCCAGAAAAGGGTTAATTTACTTTTATAATATATTAAGTCAGATGACTAGAAGTTGAAAGTATATATAACAACATGATAAACTTTTTAAGGCAGTGGATTTGCCATGCAGGTAGCACTATATACACATAAAAATTTGCCTAAGGAATTATCAACATTATTCCTACTTTACTTTACAAATTAATGTATAAAAAAATTCATCTAACATTCTAAAATACATATATATATATATATATATATGCATACATGTACCCTAAAGCTTACCCTATGTCCTACAAACTTAAACAGAATTTTGTACAAACCAACATATACAGAAAAAATGGCCCATTATGACTCTGTAGCCATTCAAAATGTATGTGTTGTTCTATGACAAATATTGACTGATCATTCTATGTACTTCTGTGTTACAATAAGAACTTGAAATTTCTACACTTCGTTTTCTGTCAAATTTTGGGAATTATACACAAAAGTGTATCTTCAGTAATACATTAGATTTTTGATTCTCAAAAAAAAAATATATATATATATATATTCCAGCTAAAATCCTTATACATTACAATATTTTTTGTAGTGTTTGGTTACTTAACATTTCCAATAGCATTTTACATACAGTGCTAGAATACTTGATAAACATTTTACCTTCAGCAATAACCTGGTTCTCTGGTTGTGATTAGCTGTTGTACCTAATAATCCCTCTGTGTCAAGGATGATCGCTTTCGATAGTGGATCATATGCAGCCCAAACACCAACAGTGCATGAAGATTGGGTAATAGAGGTTTTAAAGACCTCCTTTCCTCTAAAAAAAGTATGGTTCAATGTATGAGATTTGCCTTCTCCTGTGTTTCCAAAAATGGACACAACTTTCACAGGAGTATGAGAAGGGCAGTCAAGTTTTGCTATGAAATCAGTTTCACTACTGACCTGCAATTATGGAAAAAACAAATACATGTCAACAACAGAAATCTTTCAGCTAAACATTTTATAAAACTAATTTACACATTTACATAATTTTAGTATACAAACAAAACTAAGAATTTGACAACAATTTTCTTCCTCAATCATATTTTGAATCACCAAATTAATTTACTAAAAAAAATGAAAAAATTACCACCAAGTTGTTACATTCCAAAAGGTAATTAATTTATTTTTAGCTGAAAATATATTTCCAATATATAGTCACCTCTACACACAGAATATCTGGATCCCTCATGTATCTGCCTATGAAATTTACATGCCACTAGCACTGAGCTAACTACAACCTAAAAATCATGTGTTTAACCCTTCAGATGAGTCAGGGGTGAAGAGCCATGTCATCTCGTTTGTTGACTCGTATTCAAAGTTTTATTGAACTAGTATTTCATGAATTTATGTTAGTATTAAAAACACAGATAAACATCTATTTTTGTGTGTCATGTGGTATGTTGAATTTAGCAGTGGTTCAAATTAGATGTTTGTGAAGTCAAATTACTTAGTCTATAGTTTTGTACGAATTAGAAACTCAAACTACTGATATTGACAAGCTAGAATATAAAATAAGAAGGTCTTATCTTTTCTATTTGCTAAAATATTGCTCACGTAATAAATCAAACACAGTGGCACCTGTCCCACCTCTTTCCATTTTTGGAAACGCTCCCTTATATACACTTACTTCTATATACGACATGAATAACCAATCGGAAGTTCAGAATGTCCCCCTAGTGGCTTTCTCAGCCATTTTAACAGGCTTGCAGGTCATTTCTTTCTTTTGAACCAATACTTCAACGAGGTAGGGTGTGTCTTTAGTCTGCTTGAAATTTCATATTTTTTTAGACTGAAATACACCTTAATTACTAAGCTTGATAAATTATACTGGAATTCTATGGTATTGATGTTGTAACTTATGATTTTTTAGTTATTCAAATGTATATATAAAACCAAAAAAAAATTTATTTTCTTTCATATCCTCCACGTGCAAAATTTTTAAAGGCTTAGCAACCTACGTCAAGCAGCAGCTGAGTACAAATGTTGTAACTAGAAGAGATAATTGTTTGTTTTACTTCTTCATTTACTGTTCTGTGTTTTAAGAAAAATAAGTTTAAGAACTTATTTCAAAATAGCAATAATCTATACATATATAATAATTGAAATGTGACTGTATTTTACAAAATACTATGCTACTAAAACACAGTCAAGACAAGTTACTTTGTACAGACCAAAGGTCAGTTTTATGTTATTTGATACGGTAACAAGAGTGCACATGAGATAAGGAAAATGTTAACTTCTGAGATGATACCTCACCTCATCACACACAATTGCTAGAATCCCACCTAGATGAGCATCTTTCAGAAAGCGCCTCAAGGAAAATCTCATGGAGTGTGACACCCAATGGCAGGGGCTTCACAGAAGCAGCCCCATAGGAGAACGCATCTTGTCTGGATCAGGGTACATTCTTCGCCCGGAAAGGCAAAATAATATGAAGTGTCACAGAGAAGGGCAGAATTTTATCATGATCAACTGAGCACCTGCAAACAAGTGGTTGGCGAGCCAAGAAGTGTCAAATGGTTAGGACATGATCAGACCCTACAGCATGTGTCTTACCATGACTCACCTGAACAGACAGAGACAGGTGACAAACCCTTTCTGCTGGAAGAGGAAGGCACACTAACTGTTTGAGGGCTGACCTACACCACACAGACAGTGCCACCACTACCATACTTCCCACTGTATTATGCTGCACACAATCAGTGACTAGGAACCAGCAAGTTGAAGTGGGGGGTGGGGGAGAATATACAATGGAGAGACCTAAAGAAGTACTTGGATCCCCATCGGACACCTGCTAGAAAGTTCTTTTACTGGAGACAGTGCAATGGGTGACAATAAAACCCTATTTTTAAAAGCCAGCAAGCACAAGCCAAAAAAAGTGGACAGTCATTTCCTGATACCAGCTTTTTCCTTGATAGTCCATGGATATGATATGATCTGGATTGGGCAATTAAATAATTTTAATACCATGAGGATACCTCTAGTGGACTTGCAAAACACCCCATCCTAACAGTGAGAATTGGTAGAGCCAGGGTAGGTGGGTTGAGCATTTTCCATTAACCCTGGCCCGATGCAGGTTTTGGGATATAAGCATACCCTTGAGAGGCACAACCAGCTACCAGGTTGGATCATATAAGAGAGAACAGTAACTAAAGGGAGTCAAAATCCCATAGGAGATGAAACAGCCAGATGATGGAGATAAATGTGTGCAGATTCATCCACATGCCAGCCTAAAGGATCTCATCCAATGGTCAGTGAAAATAAGATGCAAGAGCAAGAAGGTTGATGAATCTGGATAGAGGAGTAAGTAAATAGGGTGAAAGAGAATGCAAGAAGCATCAATGACATATACATCTGAACAATGATGACCACAGGCAGGAAGAAGAAAACGGCTTCAGAGAAAGGTGTAATGAACACAAAGCCACCAGTTCAAATGGAACACGTGAAAGACCACGTCAAAGTCCCAGTCAAGCGTAAGAGTAGGATGAAGAGGTCTGTGACAAAAGACTAGAAGAAAATGGAGAGGACAGGAGAAGAAAAACCTGGTAGTAACAAGAAAGGTGAAATGTAGTTGATAGATCTACCCAACAACAAGCAATAGTGGAAACTGACAATCCATGGTTGAACAACCAAAAAAAAAAGGCGAAAAAGTGGGCCCCAATAGAATGGCCAAAAGAAAGGGAGAAGCTGATGTATCAACATTGAAAAACCCACCACTTCTGTTGATAGATGGACAGAGTTGAAGGACAACAGGAACAGAGTAAGAAAAATGCTACACAATCAGAGAATCCAGCCCTGCATGCAATGGACTGGACAAATCTCATTAAAGAAGATGAAGGTAAACACCCCTGGGTGAAATAGATATGACTGGAGCAAGAAAGAGTGGGAAGGGGCAGAGGAAGAGGGAGCCCAGACACCAACTGATAATGCAGAGGAAATCAGAGTTGTGCCAGCCAAAGAGCCACACGTAACAGGATTTGACAAAGCAGGATTCAGGGGAAAAGAGGAATAGGAGGACAGGCATACAGAAAAAGGTGAGATCAGTCCTGAATGAGAGCATCGACTGCCAGGGCTGAAGGAAATAGATATAAATTATGCTGTTTTCATTCTAGAATGACTACAAGTTATAACATGAAACCACAAATGATTATTTTAAATAGCTTAAATCTCATAACATTATACATCAATGTATATTTATTTTTATTTTATTGACCTTTCAGATGTGTCTGACTAGCGTTAAAGAAGTTACAATGATACAGCGCACATGCATTCATGTTATCATATCCAATAGTACAAAACTGGCCTTTATGAAGTGAAACTGTCTTAGCTTTGTTCTAGTGGACCAGTATTTTGTAGAATACAATCACATTTTGGTTAGAATACATAAGTATATACATATTATTACTATTTACAAATAAATTCTTAAATTTCAATTATTTTTCTTAAAGCACAGAACAATAAATAGAGAAATATAGAAAACACTGATCTCTTCTACTTATGTTTGTACTTGCTTGCACAATTTGCTATGCCTTGTTAAATTTTGCACATGGAGGATGTACAACAAAATATTTTTTTAGGTTTTATATATGCATTTTGAAATAAAAAAAAATAATAAATTACTGTATTAATACCAAAGCATTCCACTATAATTTCTCAGGCATAGTAACTAAGCTGTATTTGGGTCTATAAAATATATTTCAAACTTTATTATGTCTTGCATCTCAGCTTCAATTCTTCCATAAAAAGGAAGGTTTCCTGCGTAAATGCTTCACAAAGGCTGAGTAACCACATGGGGGACATTCTGAGCTTTTGATGGGTTATAAACACATTATAGAGCAAAGAAGGTACATGTAAGCAAGTATTTCAAAAAAAGGAAGAGGTGGGTTGGGCCACCTTGGCTAATTCTATAAAAAGAATAATAAATCAGAAAATAAAAAAGATAGGAGGTTCTTATTTTACATTCTAGCTTGTCAATATTGGTAATTTGAGCTTCTAATTCATAAGAAATTATAGACTTCGTATTTGGATATCACAAACATCTAATTTGAGCCAAAGCTGCATTCAACATACCTTGTGACATACAAAAATCGATATTTAGGTGTTTTATTTTAATATTTACTCTTACATTAAGAAATTAACTAATTTATAACACTAAAACTTGAATTATAATTTTCAGTTTGATCCCAAATTTATTGACATAAATTCCTAAAAATTGTAGTTCAAGAAAATTTTGAATGTAAGTCTTCAAACATGATGACATGCCCTCTGAACCCTACCTATAGCAAAAGGGTTAAGAAGTCCACCCCCCCCCTCCCAGCAGGTAAAAAAAAAAGAGAGAGAGAGATCTCAAAGACTGGGAATCAAGGAGTGAAAAGGAAGAACAGTTATAAGCCAAGACCAAAGAATCCAGTGCATGAGGAGGGCGAGGCATGGTAGTATGGGTGTGCAGTTATTTGAGAAACGAGTCTTCATGCTTCATGAAACTTAATATCAGGTGACAGAGGAAAGACAAAGTAGTCTTGAGTATGGGTTTCATGTAGTAATGCACAGGGGAAATAAAAAAAAAAAAGGTGAAAAAACAACAACACAAATGCAAAATCATGTCGAGGAAGAGATTAGAAGGGTGAGGATTTTCCTCCACAGATAAAGCTGTGACTAGACCATCCTGGTGGGGAATTAGCCAATCAAATAATCATCACCCTAATCATGTTTAAACTGTGGAGAAGGAACATTGACTAACTGATGGGAGGAGAAGGCCCAGTATGCATGAAGGAATTCACAACTTGTTTAACAATGGCTGTCATGTTATCCACAGACAACAGGCTCCCAGTAACCACAACAGACACAGGTCCAGAATCACAAAAGAAGTCAGTGAAACTTAAATAGGAAATTTAAGTTTTAGAAACCATCGCAAATCTGACATAATTGATTAATAATTTTAAAAAACATTCATTCTAGACATTGCTCAAGAAAAGAATGAAGCTATTTCGAGCACAAGTGTTTTGGGGGAGTTACGGTGCAAGGAGTTTCTGTCTCCTTCCTATTGGTGGAAAAACTATTATTGCAAGATGATGTCATTAGTTACTAGCAGAGTTGATGTTAAACTTATGATATTTAGATGAGAGTTAGCTCAAGGTTAGTGGCATGCAAATCTCACAGGCAGGTGTGCTGGATATCAAGCTATTCTGTGTGTGGAGGTATCATCTTGAAATGCTTATTTTTATATATTCATAGTCTAAATTTGAAGACAGAATTAAATTACTCCAAAGCCATGTTATACCAGATTTTCAACTACACAAGATGTCTGAATATCAGCATGTGAAAGCCTTTCCCGTAGTTGATTTTCTAACTATACTATAACATATAGTGAAATATAAAATGCTGAGAAGAGAATGGGTTGCTCTACATTGATTGCTAATTACATGACTGTAGCAATTATTATACTGACAAGTGAATGAGTAGTTCTATATTGGATGCTAGAGCTACAGGCTGTTAGAAACAATAATATCCACAAATGAATGTTTAGAAACTTGATTCTAGAGCTTACATGTTTTGTTGATTAGCGAATTTGTAGAATAAAAAAAACAAGATAAAACACTTTCCAAATTAAAATAAGATTAGTGAAGAATATAAAAACAATATGTAAAGCAACATACCTACATCGGGTTTCCAGTGAAAAGAAAATTAATATTAGAAGAGATCGGTTTACAGGGCATAAGAAAAACAAAAAATAACAAGGGCTCAAGAAAGTATTCTTAGGTGAAAATGGGACAAAGAAAGTTATGAGAATTAAAACAAAATAGTCAGATGAGTAAAGTTGGAAGAATAAAAAAATTGTGAAAAAGGGACAAGGAACTGAAGTAATGACATTAAAATAAGTGACTAAATAAACTACAAGTAGAATATGAATAAACACAAAAACTGGTTAGATATACAAACAATGAGAAAGTGAACACATGCATAAAACAACACTGTCCAGGGAGATTCAACAATCAAAAGTGTGTGAATTGAATATAAAAGGATAAAAAAAACATTAAGTTTAAGATGCAACTTATTAAACACAAATAAACATAAACGTAACAAATTTGGTTAAGAAAATGGCTTGATATAATAAGCTTAAGTGGTTAAGCTAGTGAGAAAGAAAAAGAATGTGTTCACTAAACAGAATTATTAGGCAAAACAAAATTATCATGAGAAAGCAAATATCAATTATAAGGAAAAGTGAAAAGGTGGGGAAAGGGAAGTTAATGAAGGAATGAGAATTATTTCATTCCAAAGGGATTAACAGTGCCTAATTTAAAAATCAAATGTTTTGCTAGGCATAATCTTTGAGTCATGTGTTATTTTTTTTAAGTCTTTCTAATATCCTATTTATTCTAAAAGTAATTTTCTTTTCACTGGAAACCCAATGAAAGAGAAATATGAAAACAATCAGTAATCATATTTCAATTTGGGGAATGTTTTACCTTGTTTGTTTGCTTCTACATCTGGTAATTTCCTCACCTATAGTTATTTTATCACCAGAACATGCTGTGTATATGAGATAAGAGTTGCATGCTTTTAGAATAATCAAGCTGACTTGTAGATGTGTAGCTCTATACTAGCTGCTAGATTTAAATGTTTTTGGAATTATTATGTTGACAAGTGAGTGCGAAGTTCAATAATGGTTATTAGAGTTACAAGCTTCTACAAAAAATTATGAAAACTGAATTAACATTTTGTAAATTTCTTTTTTCAAATTAAATTTTCCAGTATTCATAATTATTACCAAAATGAAAGGCAATTAAAATCCTCATCTTAAAAATTGGAGTAATATTTTTCAAAATAATAAAAACATCTTTGGATTGATTTACAGCATAACTAATAAAACTCATTATCATTATTTTGTTGTTCTTTTTCAGCTTAGACACTGTACACATATATTCTAGTACATGTGAGTTGGTTATAGTAAATGCTTTATCAAAGTCCTATGGTAGTTCCTCCCAATTTTTTAAAGTGACAATATTAAAAAAATTGCAAATGTCTAATGTGGCAATTTCAAGCACCAAAGTAACATTTTAATTTATATTAAATAGAATTACATTTTATGAAGTTTTGCCAATAAATCTTTATTACAAATTTTTCCAATACACATGTAATGTTTCCTGCTGATGACTCAGGTAATCAGCAGGAAACTTAAACTCTTACAATCACACTTGCATAGGATTAGCCTTCACACTAAAAATGTGCTAATAGCAAATTTCCAACTTCATTACCAACAACCAAATTTATTGAGTTTGTTGATGCTATGGTAACAGAATGCCCAAAATATTCAGTGCACAGACACTAAATCTTCCAGGTATTTGAACCAAAGCTTGCTTGTTTTTTAGCTCACCAATGGATGTACAATCATGTACCTAATAACTTTTCTATAGTGGTTAATAAAAATAATATATTCACCTCAGCAAATGAAATGATGGAAACAGAGATAGAGTACACAAGATGCTGTTTTTTTAACATACATTGATGTAGTGTTCCTGCAAAACTGTTATTTAACTTGAACAAGACATAGTGTTGAAGATAAAACCCTATAATTTAAAATTAACTCTAAATATTTCCATTACCACACTGGTGATTTATTGGGGGATGGCTGGCATGAGAATGTTCCTGTTGGTTCTGTTGTAAAACATCTCAAGTGGCAACCACATCCTCTGACACATGTTTTGTGTGTGTGTGCATGCAACTGTTCTACAATCATGGAGGATGCCAGATTAGTTTGATATATGTACATGTATGTAAGTGAAACTATTGAAAGGTGTAGTCACATAAACTGTTAAACACATGTGTAGTTGGGAGTTATTTTTTCACATATACATATGTGTCATTATATATGTAAAAAATTACAAATAAACTTACTTTAATATTTTCTTTTTCATCAACCAGAAGAAAACTTGAAATACTTAAATCACCATCAAGATCTATAGCACTGCTTTCAATAGTTGGAGGTTCTTTTCTTTCCAAAGCAAGCGTTTCACAAGCAACATCAGGAATACTATACAAGTTCTCTGAACCAAGTGATATCATTTTACTGGTACATGTATTAGTAAAAGTAATTAAGACGTTCTCTTCTTCAATTTCTGATTTTTCACCCCCTTCTAACAGTCCCTCGGTACAAGAAAGAAAATCCTCTGTTTCAGGTTCAAACGGATTTCTTCGATGCACCTTCTTACATCCATCAGAATGGACAGTCCTGTCACAAACAAAGCACAAGTTTTTACTGCAGTCAATACACCAAATATCAGCGAGATTTTGGTCTTCACAATTTAATTGGCACAGTAATTCTGCAGCAATGGGTTTCAGTTGCTCTCGTTCATGCAGCAAGAACTTAATATTTTCATGTAAAAGGGTTTCACATGGAATACACTGATAAGTCCCACATTCTGTACAAAAATAAGCTGCTTCAGGTTTAGCTCCTTTGCATGCCAGACGTTCTTGACAAACTTTCCTTGAAGGTCTAGTAATGGGTAACTTTCTTGTAATGCTTTTACCTGGTCTAGGGGATGAGATGCATGTAGTTCCAGAGCATACTGATGGTGAACGCATTTGGTTTTTTCAGTGAAATTATATCAGGATTCTCTTACATATATTTATATCAGCAGAAATAGAACCATTTCATGCTTTAAATCATATAAATGTATTGTACTTAAAACTGCTGTCATTTGAAGGTTTGCATTTTTCATTCACCAGTCTCTCTAAACAAAAAGTAAAAAAAAAAAAGCAATTCATCATTCAAAATAAAAATTTTCTTACATATATGCACAGTAAATTTGTAAGAAAATAACCTTAAAATACTTTATTTATACATATTTTCATTTTAAAATAATATAATGACTAGAACCAAGTGATTTAACCAACTATAACCGATTACATTTGAGCAGTGATTATACCAATTAGTGTTTTATAAACTAATCAATCAACTGAAATTACAATTAAATTGATTAATAAAAATAAGTTTCAGAATTTTTCTTTAAAATAAAGGAATTAAAATTCAGATAATATAAAACTTTGAGCTATAATGTAAATTATAATGCTAATTTTTTGGTGTACATTGAGAGTAAGATTGCTTAATTAAATTTTGAATGTAACAAAGTAAAATCTAATTACCTGCTAATTTTTTGGTATACATTGAGAGTAAGATTGCTTAATTAAATTTTGAATGTAACAAAGTAAAATCTAATGACCTGCGCAGTATAGAGGTAACTGTAATCACAGAATTATCTTTCAAGACTATAACTCACCTCTTCACACAATATAGCTACATTTTCACACTGAAATGGTGGAGGGATGGTGCAAATATTAAACCTACATGAGCTCCCTTCAGAAAGCACTCAAAGGGAATGCCTATGGATTGTGACACCCACGACAGACTGCATCTCAATCAGGATATATTCTTCACCCAAAAGGAAAGGCAAAAGAGCTTCATGTGTTGCAGGGATGGACAGAATTTAAATACGACCAGCCAAGCAGTCAGTGAGCCAAAAAGAGTAGTGTGGTTAGGACACAATCAGTCTGTATAATGTCTGTCTTTGTGAATGAGTCTGCAAGTATCTATTTATAAGGAAGAATACACCAACAGGAGGAGATGGCAGGTCCAACCTGTAAGGGGTAGAAGTCGAGAGATCCCAAGGTAGAGACAAACAATGACAGGAACCCTAAAATGGAGACATGCATGTCAAGTAACACTGAACAGCCCAAACTAAACACAGGAGATGATTCATGTCTGAAAGAGCACAGAGGTGAGAAACTAAAACGAAATAGAAGAAAAAGAACAATCACCTTACCAAGCAACCAAAGTCTCAAAAATAAAGGTCCAGTTAGGGTAAAGAAATAAGTAAGTAAAGCAAAAGAAAGAATGGGAATCATAGATGGCATATACATTTGAATGATGACAACCATGGCCGAGAAGAAGGAAGCGTGTCTTCAGAGAAAGACAATATAAGGAGTATGAAGCCAATAGCTAGAATGGAGTAAATGTACAAGTGTGTAAAACCACACTAAAGTCTCAGTCAGGCATGAGAATAAGATGAGAGGATTAGTGAAGAAGGAGCATCTGAACAATGAGGAGAGGATGGGAAGAAATACCTAACAATGACAGGAAAGGTAAAATGTTGATAAAGCCACTCGATAGCTAGAAATAGTGGAAACTGAAAATTCATTGTAAAAAAAACATGTGAAATAGGCCAGAAGGTGGGCCACAGTAGGACAGCCCAGAGGAAAAGAGTGGTGGATGGACCAATGTCAAAAACCTTCCACTTCCATTGATAGATGGACAGAGTTGAAAAACAATAGGAATGGGATAAGAAAAAAGCTACATGGTTAAAGAAGTCAGCCCTGTGGACAATGGATCACAAAAATCCCATACAGGAATATGAAAGGACAACACTCCTGGGTGAAAAAAAGAAAAGTGTGTAGTTGGAACAGAAATGAGAAGGAACAGGGCAAAGAAAGAGAGGGCCTCCCTGCCAACTGACGAAGCAGAGAATTCCAGGGTTGTGCCTGCCAAAGAGGTGCCACCAACAGGACCTGACAAGGAGTGTCACATATCAAAGTGAGAACACAAGAGAGAAACAAAGAGGAGGGTAGGCATATAGAAAAAAGTACGAACAATCCTGCCTAAGCATTGACCACAAAGGATGAAGTACTGGGGACCAGAAAAGGGGAAGTTTGGTGTTGAGAGGAGTGGCGAAGGCAATAATTAGAGGCATGCTCAACTGCTAGTTAATGCAATGAAAACCTGAAGATAGAGAGACCACTCCATGGGTGGAATCCTATCTGATCAAGAGAAGCAATCTGCCACCAAGTTCAGATCCCAAGGCACCTGAAAAGTCGTGAGATGAATCCAATGGGAATGAGCCCAAAACAGCATGTCCAATGTGCAGAAGCAAAGGGTCCTGGAATGGGCATCCCACAACAATTGATATAAGAAATGACCATGGAATTGTTGAAGTGGATCATGACCAACTAGATGAGGAAGGAAATGGGAACATGCCTGATAGATGGCAAAAAGTTCATGTACAGTAATGTGGAATGAGCACCCCCTCTAAAGTCCATATGCCCAAAGTCACATCATCATACAGAGATGCACCCCAACCCACTGGAGAAGCATCTGTAAAGAGATGGAAATCCAGTCCAGGGAGGGGCAGGTGAATGTCCCCTTAATTTAGTTAATACATAAAGATCAGTTGTAACACCAAACAAAAATGTAAAATTACAGCTGAAAATATCTCCGACACTAACAGCAAGAGTATCCAAATAATGAAACAATGCATGTTAATCAATGAAAGTAAGAACAGTACATATATATATATATATATAATACATTAGCTATATTCATAACTGGATTGATTTTTACTTCTAATGTATAAAACTTTGTAAGCAGCTTGCTTTGATCAGAATACTAATTAATAATATGCTAAGTCATTACTAGTAGTAGTATTACTACTAGTAGTGCTGGCTGAATTGGCAATGGTTAATCATGGTACTTAGCAGAAACACATTTTCACAGTATGTTTGATAATATACTCATGCAGCCAGTTACACATTTAAACTAATGACTATGACTGGAGAACACAAACCATGTAATAATATGAATATCATCTTGTACAGTATTACTGGTGGAAACAAGTATAGCAGTAATTTGTTATTGGTTGATTTACTACCATTTGATGTTATGTCATTGATCAAAGATTAGCACATTTATCTGTCAACTGTCAGTGAAGATAAATATAAAGAATGTTTTATTAAGAATCCACACACAACTTATTTTGCACACATCGATTTTATAAATTTTCTGAAGTAAAATGGCAGTTTCAAGTATATCGTGGTATTTATTTGGTCAAAACTGATCAAAAGTTTATCAGAAAATGTCTGAAAGTCATTGAATATGGTATTGTTTTCATCATGCGTTATTATATTTTTCAAAGCAGTGCACTTATGCTTGTGCATGCTCAATGATACTACTGAAATTTGTGGGGAAAAAAAGTGTGAATCACACTGTAGATTACTTCATAGAAACGTACATATGAATATAATAAAAAATTACATTTAGAATAGAAATTTGCAAGTTGATTCATAGTTTACTTTTATACAATTTATGAAGAATTTGATAGTTTTCAATCAAAATTCAGCTTCAAATTAGCATTTTAGGTCAACAAAATGGTTTAATTTTTAAATATATGAAAAAATGAATTAAACTTATGTCGTTATGACCATTTTATGCTCCATAGTATGGATTTTATCCTGGTAAACAATGAAAACTGCCACAACACTGGTAATACAATACACTCATTTCTAGCTAATATAAGAATTCTGTTGGAAATTGTCTGAAATTCTAAATTTGATTAATGACAAACTTGAGAAATTAAAAGGAAAAATTTGAAGATTTTTACTGTTTAATAATAGTACTAACATGTGAAACTATTTGGATCATTTAACAACTTTCAAAGGTAAGTAATATATATGTGATATATATTTCATTTTCCTGTTTTACTACACTGATAATATTAATAGTAATATGTTAAAACTTACAACTAGTTACATCATCTTGTATTTGCACAAACTTAGTGCAACTTACAAGATAATTTTCAAACTAACCTAAATTGGGTATTATAAAATATAATTTTATGTACACTATTTGTATTACTAGTTTGACACGTAATTGTAGCCTATATTTACTATATAATTCTAAGGGTAGTTATGAGAGAGCAAAAAATTATATGTTATAATAAATTAATAATAATATGTGAACCACACAATATGGCTGTATATCTGCCATATCCAATGCCAAAGAGGCCTAAAACAAAATCAAAACCATTACATTAATATCTGATTAATTACTTTTTCTTATCATGTCCAGTTATGAATTAACAATAACATAACTAACAATTGCCAGTTTTCACGTGAATTGTTATAATCCCTAATTAAAAGAACATTTTAATTTCAATTTAAACTACAAATACAAATGTGAAATAAACGAAAGTTAGTTGACAAAATAGGTCGATTAACAGAAGTATACGTCACGAGGATGCATTTTTGATTTTTCCACTTATGAGTTTTTTAAATCCTAGCATTGTCCATAATAATCTTGGAAAATCAGCAATTAATCTTAAAAGAAGTGTTGAACTACAATAAATTATTCAAATCACCTTTTTTTTAAATAAATTTAGATCACTTTCTCTATTTTACTGATTAATTTTTTACTATCAAACACGAAAATGATTAATTAAAAATGATAAAAATTATAAAATATCATACAATAAGTGGATAGTTAAAAAACTAAAACATATGAGGTTACAAAGTAAAACACACACAAAAAACTAACTGCAATAGTATGTGATCTTATATGCATATGTGCAGGCATACTAGATGTTTCCTAAAACCATTATTTTACTGTAAAAGTTCTCACATTTTTTTCGAAATTTTCACGATTGCAACTACTGTAAATTGAAGTAGAATGTTAATCAAGAAAATGTGACTAAAGTTCCTTTTGCCCTAGTTACGTTCATTGTTCTGGGCCATTCCCTTAAGGTATCACGTGCGCCTTCTCGAATAAAATATTTCTGTAAAATTTAACATAACGCAAAAGATGAGAGTAAATTTTTTCCACCGACGGGACAGGTGGTAACTTAAAATTACAGCCCCTTATTTGTCCATAGTAATAAATAACAGTAATATAGATAGCGCATGTATGTACTCTGAGAAGAAAGCATTATTTTTTCCTGTAAATAATTCTATTTTTCTCGATGCTACAACTGGTCATAATTCCTGGTACTATTAACAAGACAATATACATAATTTGAAATCAATAAAGGCTCAAGTCAGAATTTCATAAACTTTTAGCCATTACTTAAAACTTATTTCCATGAGAAATGTGGCTGAAGAACCTGAAACCACAACAATCTAATTCGACCATATACTTGTAAAGTCTCCCAGTGCAACTCCCATAGAATTTTATACTTTTGTCTGCTGACTCATTCAACTTAAATATGATCTTGGAACTTGATATTTATGTTCATTAGTGAGTTCGTGTCAAAATGTGAGGTCTAAGACTGACCTCACTTTCTTTTGCAAAATCTTCTTAGAATAGAATTGCAATGCCGGGAAATGTACCTAATAAATGCCATCAAGTTGATCACAATTGGTGAGGAGGAAGCCATTTTAAGACAGCAGTCTGATAAACAAGCATATTATGTATTTTTCTACCTGTTTTTATATAGGATTTTTTTTAAATATTCACCTATTTAGTTTCTATGCAGTTTTAGCAGAAACACATGGTCCAGAAAATCACTGGAGTTGCCTTGTTTGGGTTGCATTGTTTTTTTTTGTTTTTTTTTTGTTCTCTATACTATATAATGTCTATTCTGTCTGAGTGGATATTGCAATAATATAGCATCCATGATGAAAGGTCCTGTGGCTGTAATATTCTTTGCTGGTCGAACTGACGTTGTTTGTATGTTGCAATCGACCAAAGATGTGAAAGTACAAGGGTCACTGATTGGACAAAAAAAAAAAACGAGTTACATTCAAGTGAACTTTCTTGTTTCAGCTCTACTGGTAGTTTTTTAAGTAAAAAAAAAACATCCTTTAAGATCATCATGTTTTAGTCCTGAGAGAAAGAGCTGCAGACTTAATCATGGTCCAGTAGTACTGACTGTCGTTTCATTTTGCAAGTATGTACACTTCATTTACTTCTGGCTTTTCAGTAATAAAGAATGTATTCGTTCTATCAAACTTGTATAGCCTCATTATGTTTTAAACATAAGAAAACTTTTGGAGTAAAAGAATCCGAAAAAATGAATGCATTTTAATCATGTGCAAAAAATGCAGTGGGACTCCATGTCGGCTAGTTGTTTAGAGTTCGAACTTAAATCCAGTTAAAGATAGAAATATCTAAAATCCAGGTATACAGTCGCGAGTGGAGTACACAAGTCACCAACTCGAGGAATTTTACAGTTAGAATAAATAAATGACTCGAAGACTGAGACTCAAAAACACATATATAATACTTTAATTCAAATTATTGAGAAACTCGGCTACATCGAAATTCCCGAAAGTATTTTTGAAAAGCTTCAATATTAAAATTGCTAAACTCTTTAGTCTGAGTTAGTAATTGTCCTTCAATTAAACTTTGAATAATACTCATTAATTTCCTTACTACAGTCGATAAGTTATAAATTATATCATTAAGTGAAATAGGCTCAGACATAGCTTGTCTTACAAGTTCTCTTTAAAGGTCTCTGACTGTAAGTGTTTTTGGAAGCCAGAAAGGGTTAATACGAATTTAAAGTTCATTGGTTTGAAAATAAAGTTAACTGCCAGCTTCGGGCAAACTTGAGGTAAGGAAGGCAGGAAAGTTTGAAAATATTATGTCTTTGCACATTGCTGTAATGTTATAATATTTATTATTTGTTTTTATTATGTGATGTTTCAAAAAAATAATGTTGAGAAAACTATAAATTTGATCTTGTTTCAAGTTGTCTTGATTGCTTTTCTTTTTTTTTTTTGGAAAAAGCTAATACCCGTGAAGAACATTGCTTAATATGACGTTGTGTAAAAATGTCAACAGTAGTGTCTTTCAATGGTTTTTCTTGCGATATCTAGAGCTCCCTCCTCCTAATGAGAATGAGCAATCACATGGGTACCACATTTTATTTAGGATATGACAGTGATTCGACTCAATAGGTCTAATAAATATTGTTACGACAGCGCAAGTCACGCGACGCTGGGAGCATGCGCGCTGGAGTTTCTAGAAGGATCGTGACTTATCGGGCAACCTCACGAATGTCCCAGCGTTTGCTAGACGCTCTATTTTTTAGTATATAAGCCGGAGATAGATAGATAGATATAGATAATTGAGTCAAGCGAACGGTAGGCACCGTAAGTAAAATGTGTGAATCGCTGTGGATTATAGCGTGTGTTTATAAAAGTAGTTAAGTTAAAGTGACTGTGGAAATTCTGTGTATTGCAAAGTTGTATCGAGAAAGAATAAACTAGTTTTAACTAAGAAAGGACTTGTATCGCTGAAGTCACTCGGAAATAATTTTTACCGGAAATTATCAAACAAGCAGATACGCAACAATATACTGTCAGATTATACCAATAAGTCACTGAGTTGCTGCCAGTGTTTTGAGTCTAGATTGTCTGCACAGTCCTCAGTTAGTGATCTTAAATGTTTTGATTTCTAAATACTACATACTTTCAAACATGGAATGATGGATGCAACCTTAGCACCACCACTAGCATCATTTGCTTCCACTTTGCTTTCCATACTTATGACTATTACAGCATGAAACTTAATGATAAGTCATCCATAAATGCAGAGAAAAATCAGAACTTCATCTTCTCTTTTAGTTTAGTTCACCAGAACAAAGTCCATGTTGAGAGGCTTGTTAATAATGGTGGAGTTGCTTAATGCCCCTGATATACCACAGTATCTACCAGCACTCTATCTCCACTCCTGTATCAAACAGGAACTCTATTTCTAGCCCTTGTACTCAAGCAGGTACATATCAAGACCAACTAGCCCTTAAAGAGCTTGGCTAACCACCTCATATTTGGGTGCAAGCTGTTGACTGTACTCCCTCAAGTTAGTGGCCAGATCCAGTTTGGGCTCCTCTTGTATTCCAAAACTACAGATGCAGTATTCACTACCTGCTGTTGTCTCTCTTGAACCTGTTGCACTGTTGGTCAAAACTGACAGACTTGTTTGCCTTATTGTTCAGAAATGCTTCAAAGCAGCATTGGGGTGTGTGGGTGGTTGTCTCTTGGCTGATTTCAAACCTGATATGATATGGGTACCAGGGTAAGATGGTTTGTCTGAGGTGAAGTCATTGAGCTGCTGCAATAGGTTTATTCTCCTCCTGTGACTGACTCAAAGCTACTAGTTCATATAACATTGCCTAAGTAAGAGTGAGAAAGTTTTTCACACCCCCAGTGATGCCTTACCATTTCAACAACCCTTCCACAAACTTGATTACCATGATATACTTTCATTTTGTTGAGGCCATTGTAAGGTAATATTGACCATGAATGTTGCAGATAATTCACATAAGTAGTCAAGCTGCGTAGTGGCATCCCTATTCTGAGTTTTCAGTTCAACCTAATGGATCGTTTTGTTTTCCACTAGATCAAAACTCTGGCACAACTCACTTATGATATTCTCGTAGTCCCAGAGTTGCTCTTTCTCAAATGCTCGATAGAGACTAGAGTTGGCCAGAACTGAACACCCTGTCCTGGAGTTCAGTTATTCCATGCAGTTACCTACCTGAAACATTTCAGGAGATGGTCTAAGTCTCCCTTTGCTATGTCTCTATATGTTGATGGAGTAATCTGCTTTGCTCGCAGGAACTCATGTTCATGACCTGAAACTCTGCTTTCCAATTTCTTGACCATCTTCTGCCTGAGATGTAATTGACATTGTCAGTACAGCAAGGTTGGAGCTCTCAGGGGCTAAACATTTTCATAAATTTTAGGTTATTGAGCCAGGGTGTCAGAGAAGTGAAGTGCTGTAGGCAGCTCATCCATTTTCTCTGCCTAACTCTATGCTTTTTTGTGAATCATTTTCACTTCAGCAATATACTTTTTGGCTCAGGGAGGTCACTACAACCCCATGCTCCACTTTTATGGTCCAGCACCCACCTTCTCACCTGTTGAGGAGATGGCTACAGTGTTCAATAATGGTTCTTCCAGTCTCACTTCATCTCTGGATGGCTTTGACCAGAACTGGGCTTGAGACATTCTGGTTGGTGTAAGTCTGAGAGTCCTGTACAGACTATTCCACCTAATCTCAGATTCAAGAAAAGTCAAACAACCATGATGATCCTCACTTTGTGCTTCCCTCGTATCAAGGTCAATACTCAGGGTAAGAGTCCAATCAACTGATGTTAGTGCACGAGATCGAGGTCAGAGATCTTTGCACATTGGCGAAAATTCAAAGACCAAGAGAAGACTTTTCTTAAACCAAATTGTTCTTTCAGAGAAATATCTCCCTTGGTTATTGTCTTTACTTGTAGGTCATCAGTCTTTATGTAATTTCTCTAATTAGATGTCTTTTTAAGCCTAATGATAATATAGTTCAGATGAAGTGCAGATACATTTCAACAGCTATTACCACACTTCACAATAACGATATCCTGTGGTTAACGCACCAAAATTCTCCAACCTATACATTTTGTGATATATTCAGACGAATTGAGCATAGTGTTGCGTCAGCGAGTCACATGACTAGTATGACGCCACGTTTCTAGAACTATCCCGTACCTT